GAGCTGCCGGCGTCGCCCCGAATGCCCCCCCCCCCGGCGAGTGACGTCAGCACGGCCGGCGGGGGCAGCCGGGCCCCGCGGGGGGGGACACCCCCACGCAGAGTCTCGGGGTAACAAAGAACACCGGTGACTCACCTCAGTGGGAGACAGGCCCGGCCGCCGCTGCTCACATGCCGCGGAGCCGTGAGGAGTGGAGGGGAGGCAGGGCCTAAGCCGGGACACCGCCGGGAGGAACCGGACACCGCTGGGATCCTCACCCGGAAGTGAACGCGCAGCACTTCTGGGTCACGTGGCTCTTTCTCCTCCCAGCGCGGGACGGACCGCGAGGGCCGGGCAGGAACCATTCACTCTAGGAATGCGGGGGGGGGAGCGCCAGGATTTGGGCTGCACCATTCGTTGCTAGTAGGGGGGAGGAAGGCAAGGTAATTGGGGACGGAACCATTGGGAGAAAAGGGCCAATGGGCTGAACCATTGAAGGGGGTGTGATTGTGGTTGCACCGCCTTGGGCTCCCAGCTGGGGGTGGTGGGCGTGTAGAAGTTACCTATATCACACGATTTACTGGGGTATCCAATAAATTGAGACAGGTCATGTGCTACTGCTAAGTAGCTGTTGCACAATGAAGGGGTGAGCCATGCAATACATTTAGGCCGGCCAGGAGCAGGAGCAGGGTGCTGATGCTAGGAAAGGAGATGTCAGGTGTTGCCACCAAAAATGAGGTTAAGCTGTTCCCTAGCTCTACAGCTGCCGCTGAATTCAGGGCTCTGGATCTTTGCTCACCACAGGGCCAGGGAAGGGTTAATGTGGCTCTTGGCAATGGCGCCTCAAGCCACCCTCCATTCAAATCTCAAGGTGCAGAGTCTGTATGGGGTGCCCTTCTGGAGGGTGGGGATCAGAGCAGCACTTTGGGAAGGGCAGGGCGTAACTGGTGCCCAACCAAAAAAGGGTGGCTGCTGCTGGTCCACAGGCACCTCTTAACTGTTTGCTGGGCAGAAGCAGTCCCTTGCTCAGCAGGGGTGGAGGAGGCCCCATCCAGGGATGCAGCGGGGGTCCCACCACTGTGCGCACCCTGGTGGAGGCCCAGAGGGCACGTGCCCTCCTGATCTGTGCATGGGACAGAGACTGCTGCTGCTGCCACTTGGGCTCTGCTCGCTGCTCCCTTGAGAGCTGCGCGACGCCACATGCGTCCTGCTGCTGGGCGGGCAGGGGGCACGGCTGCGCCCAGCAGCAGCAGCAGCAGGCAAGTGGCATCGTGCCACTCCCAGGGCAGCTGCAGTATTGTGCAGAGCCCAGCCCACAGCAGCAGCCACCTCCATCCCATGCACAGGTTGGGGGGCATGTGCCCCCCAGGCTTCTGCCCAGGTGTGCACAGCAGCGGGAGCCTCCCTGCGCCCCTGGACGAGCAGCCCGTGCTCCAATTGTTCCACCACCCAGCCTGACCAGGGCCCCATTCACCTCAGCCCCTGGCCCTGCCTGTGCCCCATTCCCTCACCACAGGGGCCTCAAGCTGCCCACCCCCAGCCCCTTCCCCTTCATAGAATCGACTGGTACTTGCCCGCTGTGCTGGGCAGCCAGTGATCCACACACTGGGTTGCGATCCTGGCTGCGTGCGTGCTCCTCCTCACCCCTGCTGCAGCTGCCTGGAGCCCACGGCCAAGCTGCCTTGCAGCCCTACCTGCTGCCCTGCGTTTGGGGGTGTTGAGCCCCATTAGCCCCAGCCTTCCCTCGCCTATGCCGGGACAGCACAGGCTCAGCTGGCAGGGGGCCCCAGGGGTCAGCCTGCCAGCCAGGGGCTGTTCCGATCCTCTTCAATGTGCTGTGGAGTGGATGGCTGAGGTACAAGGTGCTACAGTGCACAGCTAGCCAGCAGGCAGCCCCACACCGTAACACCGTCATGCCCCAGCCAGCCCTGGTCAGCATCTACACATGCATTGCAGCAGGGTAAAGCACTCTGCCATAGGATAGTATTTCTGTTGGACAGTAGTATCCTACCGTGAATTTAACTAGTTTGCTCCAACCTAACAGCATTACGAGTGTACAGGCTAATGCTTTACTGTGGAGCTAATTAGTCAGCTCTGCAGTAAATGTCTCGAGTAGACATGGTCAAAGAGTGTCAATTACAGCCAGTTACCCCTTCAGCCCAACAAATTGTATTTAGTGAAATCATATCTATCCGTTCTTGATCTGGCATCCAGAACAGGAAAATATACTACTTCCATAGAAGAAGGTGAGTCAGGGACTCTGAGACTAACTGGTTCAGAGAGGCATGAGCTTTCGTAGACAATGACCTTCTTTGTCAGATGCATCTGTTATTTTGTAGGTTGTTGCCTAAAAAAGACTCATGCTTCGCTGAACCAGTTAGTCTCTAATGTGCCACCCTGCCCTGACTTCTGCTTGACTTCAGAATTACATAGCTAATCACCTCTCTGCTTCTCTGGATTATTTGCTGAAGTGGTTAACTAAAAAATAAGCCTTATTTCAACTTTGAATTTGTCTAGCTTCAGCTTTCAGCCATGGACTCATATTATACTTTTCTCCAATACATTAAAATGTCCTTTTGTATCCAGGATTTTCTTTCACATGAAGGTACATATACACTCTAATCTAGTTACCTCTCAGTCTAAGGGGTTGGGATAGGATGGGCATTAAGGCACACATTATGCCTGTGTGAGGTGGCCAGTATTCACTTTGGATTCGGCCGATTTGGGGGACAGTGATTCGACTCAGTGATTCGAATCCCTGTCCTGATTCAATTCGGCTGAATCTCTGAATCAGTCGGGCCCATCCCCCAGCCCAGCAATGGCTGCCCTGCCTGCCCCAGCTCCCTACTCTTTGGGGGAAAAAAGCCCTGGCTTAGAGGGTGCTGCCGTGTGGGGGGCGATCCCTGCTGCCCCCACTGCCCCACGCTGCATGGGGGGCTCTGCCTGCTCCTCCACGGGTGCCCTGCCTGGACCAGCTCCAGTCCTTTAAGGAAAAAAAAAAACGGTAAAATCCCGCACTCACCACTTCTGCTGGCGGTGGGGGCAATCCCCGCTGCCCCCCACTGCCCTGTGCCATGTGGGGGGCTCTGCATGAGCCCCCTGAAGCCGCTGCAGGAGCAGTGAGTCTCAGGACTTTCTTCGGGTTTTTTTTCTTAAAGGGCCAAAGCTGGCCCGGGCAGGACACCCATGGCCAGGCCGGGGGAGCAATCAGGGGGCTTGTGGCAGAGCCCCCCCATGCAGTGGGGGGCAGCAGGGATCGCCCCCCCCCAGCAGCACTCAGTGAGCACCGGGGCTTTTTTTTAAAGTCACAAGTGGCAGGGGTCCCCCCATGGTCTCCTCCCCCACCCCTCCTTCCTCGCCCCTAGTACTTACCAGCTCGGAGTTGGCTGCAGCTCCCTGTTGCAGCCACCAGGGACTGCCCGAATCAGCAATTTCTCCAAATCTTTCCTGAAGATTTGGAGAGCTTTGAATCGATTCAGACCTTTATGTTGGTCCCCTGCTTTGATTTGGATTCGGCGATTCAGCCACCGAATTGAGCCAAATCTCCTCTGAATCGAATCACCACCCGAAGCTTCGCACAGCCCTAGCACACAGTTAACAGTCCAGAGCAGCTGTTTTTAGATAACAAAACTTAAAAAAAACAACTTCACAATCCACAGACTATTGCCAATCCCACCATGTCAAAAATCATGCGACAAACTCTTAAAAATCAAGAGATTTGGAATGTAAAACATGAAATGCTACTTTTTAAGTGTGGGGGGGTGTTATTTGTAAAGGTGTGGGGGGCTGTGGGTGTGTGTGTCATTTGGAGTCCGGGTGAGGGGGTCCTGCACACCCGCGCAGGATGCAGGGTACTGTGGGTCAGGAGTGAGGGGCAGCAGCAGGGCTGGGAGGGCTGTGGCTTGCAAGTGAGGGACAGACATGCATACACACAGACATACACACACACACAGACAGCCTCCTACGGCTCCGTTGCATGACTTGTCCCAGCCCTGGGGCCTCACTCACCCCAGCCTCTGCTCCACTCTCACCACCGGGGCCTTGATCTGCACCCCCCCACCCATTTTCCCTCTCCCCTTGCCCCTTCCCCTCCACAGACTTACCAGCTTGGCACTCTCACGTGCCAGAAGAAAAAATCTCAAGATTTGATCTCTCTATCAGAAGATCATGAGTCAGAGTTAATTTGACTTGGAAATCAGGAGTCTCATGATTTTTTCATGAGAGTTGGCATTACTGAGTATGGTCGAAAGTCCAAGACTACAGATTCTTATACCATTTCCTGGATCAGTTTTTATAACCCATTGAGGGACAAAGGGGTAACTGCTTTGTTTTCTCTCTTCTACATACCTTGTCTCTCCCAGCAGTGTCCCCTCCTTTTTCCCCTCCCTTCCCTACCCTTTATATTCTAATCACTGCTTTTTATTTAGGAACTCAGCTTCTGCATTCCCTTTGTAGCATCTGATGAAGTAAGCCCACTGCTTAGGAAAGCTTATGCATCCCTGATTTAGTTAGTCAATAAGGCACATCTCTACCCTGCCTTCTGCCTGACTTCAGACTAAAAAAATCTAACTACCTCTCTCTGCAAGGAAAAAGCCAGAGGAAGTGAAGCAAATACACCTTTAAGATGTAGAACACAGAAGGCAAATACATTGATTCATATACATGTTATTTTTAAGCCAATATTGTAACTGGAGGCGGGGAGCACCTGAATAATGATTTTGAATGCTTGGGGTTGGTAACACCAGAACTAAATAAGGGACTATTATGAAAAATCAAGACAGAAAGGTGAAAGGAAGAGGAAGGGAAGGCAGGTTGCTGCTCAGAAGTGTGTAGGGCCTGATTTTTCTCAGTGTGCTGAGCACTCTCTACTCCAAATAACCCGGAGATGGCCCAGCCTCTCCAAAATTCTGATTTTGGGGTTAAATGTGAAATGCACGTTGTCTATAACTGAGGCCAGATTTTCAAAGTTTCTCAGCACCCCAGAGCTTCCATGTTGATACTAATGACCTGATTTTTTGAAAACAGACAGATATCCAATATGGAGCTAATATACTGAGCTCTTTGGATATTTCCACTCTGAGCATGAGGGATGAAATAGCTGGAAGACTCTCACCTTCAGCTGTCCCAGTATTCACAGAAGGCAGGTCCGTGTGTCACCTTATAGATTAACTAGTTCCAAGCAACATGAGTCTTCGCAAGCTACAGCCTACTTATCAGATGCAAAGCAGGCTATAGGCTACAAAAGCTTATGCCTCCAAATGAGTTAGTCTATAAGGTGCCAGACTG